CCATATGTCAAATTTGAGTTGAATGTGTACTGGTGCATGAGAGATAATGAATGGAAAATTTTTCATTTTCGAGAGTGATGACTCTGTCAAAAATCATCATACCATGACCAAATTTGATTAAAAAAGCCTGCACGTTCCTTTGACATATCGATAAATTAACTTAAAGTTGAATGTGTAAAACTTTAGGGAGAAAATGAACAGAATCTGAAAATTTCTTTTTTTGAGGGGCAGAACTCTGTCAAAAATAATCGATTTATGAAAAAATTCGAATTTGTCCTACCCATTCCTATAGCATATACATATCTTAAATTTGAGTTGAATGTGTGCAACCGTTGGGTAGATAATGAACAGAAACTGAAAATTTCTTACTTTTTATGCTCCCCGAAGGGTGAGCATATAGTCGCCGCCTTGTCCGTCCGAGCGAACATCCAATGGTCTATGAGCTTTATTCCGTCCATAATTTTAGTTTAAAAAGGAGAAAATTCCATAAACCGACCGGTATATATGGTATTTTTTACTGGTTTATGGGGAAAAGTACCACATAAAGATCAAAGAAAAAGCACATAAACCCCAAATGTTGACATGTCCGCCCGTCCGTCTGCTATTCTTGTCCGGTATATAACTTTGAAACAACAAGAGGTATCAATATGAAACTTTGTAGGTAGATAAATTTTATTGAGTAAAAGTGCAGTGCAAAATAACCATAACTTTGTCTTGCCTAATTTTGGAGTTATTGTCCTTTGTTCATTTTTACACTTTGAACTTTTTCCGGGACATAGCTCTAAAATTATAAGAGATATCAACATGAAACGTTGTATGTAGATAGATGATCTCATTGAGTAAAAATGCAGTGCAAAAGAACCTTAACTCTGTATTGCCTTATTATGGACTTATTGCCTTTTGTTCATGTTTACACTTTGAACATAGTCCGGGACATAACTCTAAAACTGTAAGAGATGTCAACATGAAACTTTGTTGGTAGGTATAATTCATTAAGTAAAAGTGCAGTGCAAAAGCACCATAACTCTGTCTTGCCTAATATTAGAGTAATTATATCCATAATGTCAAATTTGAGTTGAATGTGTGCAACCGTTACAAAGATTTTTTTTGAATTATGAACTATGTTTTTTTTTTTTTTTTTTTTTTTTTTGGCAACATCAACATTTCACATTTTAGCATGATGAATGGTCTCATCGGCCTCCCTTTCACCAATTAGTCATTTATACTGTAAATCGAAAAGAAAGAAAAATAACATATATTTATTCGCATTCTAGCTGTCAATCACTGGATTAAAAAATAATAGGTCATCATTTGGCAATATTACTAGTTTTATTACTACTATTTAAGGGCATGTCCGGGTCCGAACTCTCAGTGCCTGAAAAGGTGGATGGTCCCATATTTAGTTTATAACACACACACATGCGCGCACACGCACGCGCTTGCACGCACACACTATATTCAACTTCGGTAAGTTATGATTGAACTGGATGTGGTCCGTTCTAGTGACGAGGGTAAATAAACAACACACTCGGAATCATGCAGCAAGTCAAGGCAATCTGCAACATAAAAAAGAGATGTCTTTAAAATATCAAATACTGAACTATACCTTTAATAAACCTTTAATAAACTACTCAAATTAGCCTTAATGAACACACACAATACAACCGATTGCCTTCTGGGTGTCCTACTGGGTGTGTCTGGGGGGCAGCGTCCTATGAACGTTGCCTTTGCCTTGTTGATCTTTATTCTTGTTATTTTATTTAAAATTTGAATGTACATCAATGTATTTCTCAATAATATTTTAAAAATTCTTATATTTACATTTGTAATGTTACGGAAAGACTACTCACAAAATAGCTCGTGGCCACGAGATAAATAAGACGCACACATGTCACCTTTGTGCCGCCGTCGATTCCCTTTCATAATTCGATTTCATTTAATTACGTCAGTTGTTTTCTCGTATATATATAACATACGCACGTTTTACCTCCCTCTAAATTGAATGAATGATTTTAACAACCCACATTGAACGTTTCATTGTGACATCCGTATGAAAACCTCTACGGATTTAATTGAAAATAACTCTTAGTAGTATTAAGTATATTTGAACTATACCGAGGGCCAAGAATCTCGCGGTAATAATGCTTTTACAACGAATAATTTATGAAAATAAACTTACCAAATCTTATAGTTTTCAGAAGTCACTCACTAACAGTTCAATTAGGTCACAAAATGTCATACTGTGGCAGCCATTTGCAATCAGGGGAGGCTATTAAACTCGCGGTAGACTGGCATACAAGCACATTTGTCTTTTGTAAGGTTTAAAACAACTATTAGGAACAACACATCATAGCATTGTTACAAGAAGTAAACAAGTAAATTCAAGAACAATAACATAAAAACTTTTGCATTTTTTAACAGACAGTCTTAATTTATTCACAGCATTTGCAGAAGAAACTGACACCTCTTCTGATACTTGATATTTCACTACTGTGTGTGAGATGTACCCAGTGACCACATGTGTCACATTGAGCCAACTTAAGGATTAGCAGACCTGGATATCCTTTCAAATGTGGTGGACAAGAACTTTTGCACTGGCAACAGGGCTCAGAATCATCTTCTAAAGAGGAGTCCTCACTTTCAGTGCATTCATCAAGAGTTATTGGTCCACCTTTGTTACTGTTTAGTCCTGATGTTGATTGTTTAGGGTTAGTTTTTATTTGACTTACATTTGCATTTCCATTTGTGTTTTCAGATTTCAGACTATTTGCCTGATTGTTTTCTTTATTTCCTGATTTTTCATGATTTTCTTTAAGAATCTCCTGATTTTTTTTTCAGAATGAAGATTTCCAATATTTTTTGGGAGGAATAAATTTTTTCTTTGGTCTTGATTTTACAACTGTGGTGATATTTTTACTTTCAAGAATTGATATTTCAGGGGAAGCAGTTTCAACAGGACTATTAATAACTTGTGACCTTACATTTTCTACGTCTGTTGTGCAGGGAGCATGCTCTGATATGTATATCTCTGCTAGAGCAGTTTGCTTATCATATATCACATATTTATCCCAGCTTTCTTAAAAGAACTGACAATATTGTCAGCGCAAAAAGCCTTAGAATATGACCTGGCAGTCAGTTTTGCAACTTCATACCTAGAAATGTACCTTACTAGGTTGGCATGCATATATAATTTGCATTCACTGTATAAGTGGCGCTTCATTGGACCAAATATACCAACATCAAGGGGTTGTGTCTGATGAGATGAGTGTGGCGGCAGTACAAAGAGAATAACATTATTTTCTTTTGCCCAGTCTGTTAAAGTCAAGGAGATGCGCATTGCATCCATCGTATAAAACAATAATCTTAGTATCATTTCTAAGATTGACATGCTTTGAAAAGTTGTTAAACATGTATGACTCAAACAGCCCACGGGTTACAAACCAACTCTCAGACATGTCACTATCAGATCCAGGGGCATAACTTTCAAGAAGTTCATCCATCCAGCGTTTTCCAGGGAAGACATAAAAAGGGGGTATATGATTCAATGGCATTAGCAGATCCAATTACTATAACATTTTTTGATTTTTCTGATACTACACATTGGGGCTTAAACTACTTTCCACATACAATCTTTGGAGGTCTGTGCTCTGTTGAGAATTCACTCTCATCAACATTATATATTTTTTGAGGTTTGTCTAATAAGTCATTTCTTCTTAATACTGTGGACAGCTCATTGAAGAAGTTTTTAATAACTTCTGCCGGGGCATTTTTTGCTCGATTAAGAGATAACTTCTGGGGTTTCACCACCTTAAATTCATCCGAGTTCCTCTTTATGAACGCTTGCACCAATCCTTTACTTAGGGAGTTTTTAATGTTAAGTCTTCGAATTGACTTGGCATATTCTGCTGATATAACACGGAGTTCACTGGAGCTATAACCATAACCTATAGACGACATATAAACAATATGTTGGACCAGCTGTCTCTCTTCAACCTCACTGAAGAGACGTGAGGCCCCTAAACAGCAATCAATGTCAACATTATTTCTTGTTATATCTCTAAGAGTGCTCTCTGGCACCCCAAACATCCTCGAGGCTTTATACACTGATGCTCCATTAAGGTAAGCCTGGTATACCCTTTGCAAATTTCTTATTATAAAGCTTTTGTCTACCGGTGATAGTTGTCATTTTTAAGTCCTGAAAAAAATATAACTTATCCCCGAGGAAATAACTTAAATAAGTAAAGCTAATTTTAGTTGAAATATAAATTCATTAAAATATATTAATGATGATAAATAGTTAGTGGTTTCACACCAAATTTAATGGCCTGGATACAGTCTAATTAATTTGCATACAATTTAGCACTTTGAGACTCAGTTATTTGACAGACGATGGATATCATTGTTGGATTTTGGTTATTTTCAGGAACATGTGAGTGAAATTATTGATAATTTTGTTTGAAAATGTTAAAATATTATTAATTTTGTATATATACTTAGCCAAATTGGCGGCATGTTGATGAAAAATATTTCTTTTGTAAGCGTGAAGAAATCTGGTCACGATTATTTATATTTACAACGGCTAAACGGCGCTTTTGTAAACACCGCGAGTTTAGTGATACCGCGATATTACTGGCCCCGAGTATATAATTTTAAACAAAAATGATATTTGAAGAATACCAGTGTAAGATCAAACATTTTTCGTATATCAATTCTATCTAGTTTTATATTCAGCCTTGAATGATTGAAATAATAAAAGAAATGTATGAGAAAAAAATCAAAGTAAAAAATAAAGGTTTAAAATAGTGGTATTTCATATTTAATAGAATTCGATGGCATCACATATATACAACGTATTAATTATCATAACTAATGACAGAGCGTGTGAATGCGTGCTTATAGAAATTAAGTAATAAACATACTGGATTGAAACCGTATTTAGCTATGCTGCGATATTTCATGACTTAATCAGATGTGCCAGTCATGAGTTGTAAGTAAGGGCACCGAATTCTATTAAGATATGACTTTCGAGTGTGATCTTGCCCTCTCCTGTAAGATAAGGAATGATTACCTTATATGATATTTTAAAAGGTTCTTCTTGCAAAGTGTTGTATAACAGGTAACAATTTTCTATCAAGTTGCTTGGGTGTGGAAGTTACTAAATTGCCAGAAACAGCTAGCTATTTATGAAGCAAAATCAGTATTGCAAATATATCAGCGGAAACATTTATATAGTTTGAAAATAAAAAATGCAATAACTAACTAATGTCATGCAAATTTGATGAAGTTTAAATTATCCGCTTATCATTTCCAAAATTGATGTTGACTATTTTATGCAAAACCTAAAGTTATGTACAAAAAGCCTTGAATTATGTGTTTTCATATAGTTTAGAAATTATTTCTATATGAATAACAACTGATGTAAGATTCTACATATCTTTGTTTACATATTTTTACCTTTAGCTCCAAATTTACTAGGGGTTCAATCAAGAAGCAGCATGATCATTACATATCATCAGCAATACTAATGTCGCTGTAAACATGCATACATAATGCGCCAAACTTATGCATTTATAACGCTTATTTTAAAAGTATGAACTGTGAGCTAATTTTTGGTTCTTACAAATTGACGAATTCAATGTCTTTAACTCGTATTATTATACGATGTCACTTGCTTTTGTTTTAAATGTACGCACGATGAATTTCTATGTTATTATTACACATAAGTGGCATAACATTTGCGTATAATAAAGTAGATAAACAGAGGGTAAGGTCAATGTTGCCTGCAGAGGGTGTATTGAAAATATACATGTACATGTATGTATTCGTTTTCTCTGTGTCTTTCAGTCGATTTAAATATCTTCATCATTTCAGTATATTGAAAAATGATAGTTGGCATTTTACGTCCGTGTAAAAGATGCAATCATAATGACTGCAATGAGTTATGATGACCATCTTGTTTTTTTTTAAAATTCAATTTGCCTTCTAAGGCCATTTTCGCTTCGCTTGTCCAACCATATTCCTCGGAAGTTGTTCCTTTTAGGCATAATACGCATATATATTGTAGTCGCAGCGTGAGAATTTCATAAAAGGTGTTGTGTTGTATATCATTGATAATGGCATTGTTTACTAAATTGCCACTTTTGTTATCATAGGAAAAACCATCATATAAACGTGTGTATTTACATAATGAAAATACCAATACAGGGCGACAAATAATATCCTTCATATGTAAAACTTCCTTTTCCGAACTACTTTTTGATCAGTCTTTACTTTAAGTTGTACCATTGTTTATAAACACCTCTTACAACATCTTTCTGTACGTGTTTGAATACAATTAAACTAAAAGTCCACTCAAACATTACAAAATACATATTTTGTGCATCATTTGTTATGTCGTCGCATTTGAAGAATATATATTTCGAGGGTCCTGTCTTTAAATGTTTATTCATGGACATACTCATTAATTACTAGTTCTATTTTGTATATAAATCTGATATCAACGATGTGACAGCAGGAAACACATTACCCGATAAAATTCATTTTATAAGACTACATCACGTGATTGGCAATTTATCTATGATAAGTGAAATATAAATAAAAACATCTTTTATATGTACAATATTGACTCCAATGATGATTATCCTAAAACTAGTTCTCAAATATCTCAAGATCGAACTACGGAAGCAAAAATACGAAAAATAGCAAAAGCGTAAGACACTTGATTTGACTCTATTAAATTCGGTACTTTAATATTCAGAACAACTTTTATCACTATGTGAATACATTTTTTTACTCTCAATGTTATCGATTTTCCTTTTCAGTTTGTCAACAGACGATGAGACTTTTTGTTCTCCTGGCTTTATTTGTACCCTGTCTCTCACTTCAAGAAGTAAGTCTCCAAACACCTTTGATGTTGAAATTAACATGCAAAAATTCTAACACGCTTCACATTATCTACCCACTAAACATATAGGACAGACGAGTGCACAATTATTATACGATATAATGTAAATGCTAACACGTGATATGATGTCAATATTAACCAAATAACGCCAGGGAAATTTCTACGCACAATGTAGTTCAAAAAATTTTAAGAAATCTCTTTTCCTAGCATGTTGGATTTTTTTGGCCAGCATGATTCTTACTACAATATAAAATTAAAACAGACGTTATTAATGAGTTAATGCAAGCTATCTGAACAGTGCTAAAATTGAATATTAAATTAAATAGTTAAATATTTTATATGCATCAAATATGTATAAGTTAATATACATAAATTTTGAAACAAAATTTTGCATTTTAAAATTTAAAGAAAGAAAAGGAAATGTAAAGGATTTACTGGTAAAAAATCGTTAAGAAACATACACACGTTCCAGTTAAAGAAACCCACACAATAAAATTTGTTTATTCAGATTTGCTAATTAAATTTAAGTGGCTTTTGCATATTTTAAAACAGACGCATCATTTTCTTCATCTGACGGATGATGGAAAGTCCATTCATCAGGATATAATAGTTGATAAGGAGGACAACACTGTTTTGGTCATCGTGGGAGATGTATCCATGTACAAGAATACAATCCCAACCATCAATTATCATGACTATGATACGGTAAGAGAGCACAAATACTGTTTCTTATAAATAAAAGAATCTCATTAAAATCGCATTCTCAGATAAGTAATTTTGAAATTACACAAATATTTGCATTAATATATGATTTTATTATATATATATATATGAAACATTGAGAAATATTGATGAAAAAGAATGCGTATTTTCATTTTCCAACTTTTCACTGTATTTTTTTAAATTTTCACTGCAGTGAAAGATATTTTCTGTATTTTTACTTGTGACTTGATGAACTACTTTCTTCTTTTAATTCAGCCAATAAACAAAATGTAAAGGAAAGTCTTTCGACTTGTAATGTCAAAAAAGAGAATATATATACATATATACTAAAAAGAAAAGTCAAGTTTTTGCTATATTTACTGGTTTTATTTCTATCTTGTGGTATGAAAATCATCATATTTCACTCGTGGCTATCGTCACTCATGAAATAATTATTTTCATACCACTCGATAAAAATAAATCCTGTATTAATAGAAAAAAACTTGAATATCCTCTATATATCTGAAACGTTATTTTAGGGATATGTTGTTTTTAAAGACATCAAGCATCAAACGTGTTCATTGTCAAGAGTACCAATTCCGAAACCATCTCTTGAAATGTATAGACAGGTACGTACATGTATTTGTACATAAGTAAATTATATTGATACATTTTTCTTATAAGTGTTTTTAAAACAGTATGTACATGCCCTGCAGTCTATTATGTACCAATTATTTTGAACATTATAATTTTTGTGTAACAAATAATGTAAGAGCCTATATTCGAATGATTTTCCTTATAAAAATCTTGTGATTGTTTGTTTAGTTAAATAGACATCTATTTATAGGGTGTGTCAAATGAAACACTGCGATTTACGGCAAAGCATGACCCAATTCCTCTAACGTACTCAGAGATAAAAGAGAAAGCTGGATTTAAGATTGCAGATTTTTGCAAAGATTACGTTACATTTTACCGAACACTGATTCCAAAGGGAAAAAACAAAAGAGGTAAAAAACGATTTGTTTGTTCAGTATATTTAATGAAGTTAGTTATTCTTTCTATATTTTCATAAGACGTATTGTAGTTGGAAAATACAAAACGTCATGCAAATACAAAATACTTTTAAATCTTAAAGACTGAAATAACAGCTGTACTTTTAAAATGCCACACTTTTGATAATAGTACTCTTGTTTGCACCGACACAGAAAAAAAAGCATATGCTTTGGTACAAAACCTTGCTACACCATTTTATATGTAGTTTGAAGTGTTAAAGCTTTCGTAAGAATCGATGGAACCAAATAGAAATGTAATAATTCATACTTTTTCTAAAATTGACACGTGACACGTATATAGTATGCTGTGGCAAAATTATGCACGGATTTATAGACTTGGCTTTGTCATAATGGTATGATATTTCAACTCCCATGACATAACTATGATTTGCCTTAATTACTTTGACCGATATTATAAATATTTAATCTTCAGAAAAAATTACAGAGTCACCATGTAAGTACACACTATGCATACTATGAATATAAAATTGTGAACAATTTTTTTTTTGTAGAAAATGTATTCGTATTTTAATCAAAGATGATTGTTATCGAATTCAAGCTTCTTTAAATCTAGAATATCTAGTCTGTTATAAAATACATGTAACATGTTTTTAAACAAAAAGTAGTACGAAGAAAATATTTTTTTCCACATTTCCTATTAATTGTCTTCACATGTAAATACCTTCATTCCTGCAACATTCCTGTAACTGAATATATATGTTTTATCAGTGCACGAAACTGTGATATTCATATATCGTCATATATTCCAACATTTTGTAGGTCACCACGTTTGTGTTATATGTGTTATTGACTCAGACCATCCAGACCCACACAGAAATAACAAAGACAAAATAAATTTTGGATAATTTAATCCTGCTTTATTGCTGTAACATTAAAATAAACAGTTAACTGTATATTTTCATTTTTTTAGTTTTGCCATTATATTCTATTAAAAATGTAACTTGACCTTGGAGTTGATATCATTAGGAAAGAGTATTTATAACCCCTTTATGCCTACGTTACTGTCGTTTGAACTTACATACAGAAGGCCTTTGCAAAAACATACCAAATTTAGTGAACAATTCTATAAGATGGTGTTTGATCAATAAAAGGAGTTCTAACAAGATAGTACATAGCTGTAAAGATATTGTTAATTCAGTAAAGATAAAGAACGCCAAACAACTTAGTTTTTCTGTATATATCTGGTTAATACATTTTCAGATATAGCAATATTACACTTTTTTTTTACATGAAAAATATAGAAAAAGTGATCGCTCGGTACAAGATTAACAGCAAATTACACGAAGATTGCAGACTAAGGTTGATTGAGCCTGTACATGAGGGATAATGAAAACGTGCACATTCTCTCACTCCCGCCAGCACCGACTTGAGCGGTTTTCATTTCTAACTACTCAAAAAGTCACACTGAGTCTGACATCGGTATAGATATAGCTTTTAACTTCACACCCAGGAATGAATCCACAATCCGTGTCAGGATTTCAAAGTACATCACAAGTTTAGGATCAAGTTATGTTAGGATAGCAGTCTTTACAGAGTGTCGACCATAGAGGCCCAATATTGATGTTACATTTACACTTTCATTACACTAATGTAACTTACATAAAGTCTAGTTTTTTTTTGTTATTTTTTATTTTATTTAAGAAATAATATATCCCAAACAGTGATTTTATCGCTCAATAACATTCACTGTTTGGAGTTTGGATGCGAGGAATTATATTACGAAGGCGTAGCCCGAGTGATATAAAAATGCGCATCCGAACGACAAACAGTGATGTTATCAAGCGCGATAAAATCACTGATTTGGATATATTATATCGATTCTAACACGACATCAACAAATAAATGTTGCCGTACTTGATAGATAAGCAATATTGCGCCTGATTTGTTTCCGTACTTATTTTCAGCGCGTCGGATTTTTAGTGGTTACGTCACGTGTATAATGATTACGTCACATGTCTAAGTATAGACCGTCAAACTGTGCATCTGTTGCATAATAACACACACTTTCTGTTCTTCTATGTTCAATAGGGAAAAATGCGGGTCGTGTTAGAATTATGAATAATTTTAAGGGTTTGTAAATTGATTTGAATTAATTATATATGAATTGGGGAATGCATCTGCATATATTTGGGAAGGAATTGTTGATACATAAAGAAGCATAATAATGCTTTCTTAATCTTTAAACAATAATTATTAAAGTATCATTATAAAAACATGCTTGATGATGAAGCTAAACACCACATAGAGAGTGGCAAGATTATCTCATTGACTTGTAACTACAATGATTTGACTGAGAACATAAACATATTATCCAATCGTAGGTGATATTTTGTCGATCAATAATATTTATATTGTCATATTTTGAACAAAGTCACAGAAAATGCAAACATTAAATGTTAGACAATATCAAAATACTAATCATTTATCAAGTGTGTTTGGGCGTTTTTGTTACCATACGATATTAAATCACATGTAATAGATTCCATTCCGTTAAGTTTTAATTTCTTTACTTCACTATTAAGGTGGGATGATTTTACCTATTAGCTTTAAGAATTCATAAGGTCAAAGCTAAAATTGAAGCATTTGTATCGCTTTAAATAACCCCTAACATATATATCATATCGACAGGTTTCCCTTAATATGTCTTTATTGTCGACCCTCTTGTTCCACAGATTTGATACAATTTTTTAATAATTCCCCTTGTGTCAATAAATGGCCCGACCGGCAATCACTTAACTTATAATGACTTCATCTCCAATGTTTCTGGTGCAACCGCCAAACACATTGTTTTATTGAGTTTGTTCATGGGATATAGTGAAAAGTAGAATATCTCTCTGGCCCCTAAAGCATACTTAAGTGGGTTTCAATTGTCAACAGTGAAAGGAATAAAATCAATGGTTATCTAACGGAACAAGAAAATATAACAACAATAAGGAAAAGACCGCAACAAGTTTTATAATTGTCACATTAAACTCATAATCTTATAAATGATAAATTAGTATCTTTAATTCAAAAAAACGTTTGCAAGAGAACAGGTCACGTTTCTTGCTTGCCATTCAAAGAAGGCTTTCTTTAACAATGTTATCATTAAACAATAAACAAAGTGGACCTGTGACGAAGTTTGTAAAGCACTTTCTTTTTTATTAGATAACATTTTTGTCAGGTTTGGTAATACAGTTTCCAAACAGGTAATAGGCATTCCATAATGATACGCATCCGAACGATGTTATTAAGCTATAAAATCACTGTTTGGGATGTATTATTTCGATTCTAACACGACAATTACATTTACATTGCAGTACCTGATACTAAAATGAAATAGGCCACATTTGTTTCCGTACTTTTTTTTTTCAGCGCGTTGCATTTTTAATAGATACGTCACATGCCTAAATATAGGTCGGCTATTCTGTCTTTCCCCCCAATATTGGAAAAACGTCCAACTTTTCGTACGTCGTATTTTATTGAAAACGAATGGAATTTCCATACTTCATGTGATTGTTCTAAAAAGAAAAGGAAATCAGCAAAACCAGTATGTTTTATAATTCGTGTAGTTTATTCAACAAATCACTCGTTTTTCAACAAATTCATTGAGGCCAGGGTACAAGAACGACTACTCTAACAAAACAAATGCGTATGGCATGTAAATGTGTAAACACAACAAGTTAACAGATAATCTAACAAGCGTTGTACATTATTCCTGGATTAATTACACAGTAAAATTCGGTGCTTTCACTTAGCATGGTAAATGTTTACATTGATTGTGCTGGATGTAATATTACCAGACAAAAATTGACAACTGGCAGCTGATTTTGACATTGTTATGTCTATGTTTCCGGAGCGGACAGGGCAAATTTGTGATGCACTTGAAATCTGACACTATTGCTGTGTGACAGTAAGCCGCTGATTTTTTTGCAAGCCTCTTCAGATGGCCTGATGTAGGAAGTCAGGCTTTGAACATTTCTATGTCCAGTGACAGACATTATTTCTGTATTTGACAATCCAGCAGCATGAAGATTTGTAGTAACAGTGGCTCTTATGCAATGATTTGTGTATCTCTGGCTGAGATTTGCTTCGGTCGAAATTCGTGGCATGATATTGAACAATTTGTTTACACCTACTGGAACTTTTGAATACCAAACAGGACTGTCACTGTTCACTTTTGAAAGCGGCCTTTGAAAGAAGCTTTCACTGTCAGGATTCAACTTAGACAGGTATATTTCAAAACTTTTCACAGGACAGTATTCATTTTTGGTCTCATACATTCGTGGCTCTTTGTTTTGTTCCCTATTATCTAGGCCATGATGGTTTTTGTCACATTCATTAAATGTCATTTTAGCATATTTATGACCATTTGAATCTGTATACATTGCAAATGAATTCTTTTTTAGACTGTGCAAACCTTCCCTTCCGCGCCTTCCAAACTGACTCATAATATCATACTGGACCTTATTTTGTAGTGTTTGTGGGCTGTCTAATGAAAAAATTCCTGAACTATATAAATTTTTTTTTATCTGACTCTGTAATAGGCTCTTTATGTTTACTTATGTCTTTTCCTTCTCTCTTCAGTGTTTTGATCATACCGGAGAGGACTTGGTTTGATGACATGAACTCGCGATCATGCATTAATGACACTTTTCTGGAAAAGGGTGGACTGGTTATGTGGCGGTTTATTCCAGCACGAATACCAACAAGTGCAGATTTTGAATAGTCAACCCCACTTTTCTTGCGAAGAGCAGTATAGAAAGATTCCAGCAGTGAATCAATATTAGCAAGTGGCCACAATTCAAACTCTGTGCTGCTGTATCCATTTTCAAGCATCCATTCTGAAAAAAACAACATTTTTCAAGATCAGTACAAACATTGATGCACAGATCCAGTACTGGTATACATGATCAACAATCAGCATTTCTGGTATGTAGTAACATTTTTCCAAAAATACATTATTTTTTTCTATTAACTTGTGTTTGCAATATTATTGAATGCAGAGTTGTAGTGGGTAAAGTTTGAGTGTCTGCCAAGTTCCATTGACCTTTCAAAAACTGCTGCCATTTAAGAAAAGCAATGTTTCAATGTACATGAACATGTATTTAGCCCAATGGAAATATATTTCAATGAACTATATAATACCTTAAAGGCTTAATTAAGCTTGATGAAAATTTTCAAAATTAAATTTATTTGTATAATAGCTAGCAGACCATTTGTTATGATTATAATCCCTAATTTTAAGTATTTCTTCTATAACAGTATTTCTTTATTACAAACAGAATATCATTTAGCTACGCCCTACTGATATACATCCTTGCATACAAACACAAAACAGTGAATTTTTTAGCGATAAAATCATTGTTTGGGATATAATATTTTTTAAATCAAGTTAAATTCTGACTGACTTGTTTCTGTACTTATTTTCATGGTGTTACATTTTTAATGAATACATAGCAATCATATATACATTTAAAATAGATTGTCAACACTGATTTTATAATTACACAATTTCAGGCCATTTGTGTTCAATAGGGAAAAATGTGGGTCATATTAGAATATTAGAATAAAGTTTATCATTAGTAATATTGATGTTTTCTTTTGCTTGGTTTGTGTAAACTTAATATACGGAGTAGATATTATTTTTTGTCCACTGCTTGTTGGTCTTTCTGAAGTATTTCTAAACAATATTATGAATATAATTAATATGTACCATGCAATATATTTATTGCCCATGTTGTCTGCCTCTTTGTGGTGACTTCTGTGGTTTTTTCTTTTATTTTGTTAATTTTCTCCAATGTAACAGTTTTAAATCTTTTTTTAACAGGTTCAGCAATAGGCACTTCTTCAAGTTCTTGTGCTGTAGTAGAAATTGGTGTATAACCTGCAGCTACAGTCTCAATAGGCACTT